ATTTCCCAGTCTCTAGAACTGTGAGATATAAATTTCTGTTGTTTATAAGCCACCCAGTTTATGGTATTTTGTTATAGCAGTCTGAACAGATTAAGACAGTTCTCATGAAATACATGTCACTTAACTTTCCTACAATCCCATTCTTGTTGCAAGCAGCTGACAGGCAAATTTGATCAGATGTAGCATAACCAATCAAATAAAGAAGGGGTTTTCAACAAAACACCTAGCATATTTGAAGAAGTAAATTGAAAAAGTTATGCTATCTAATAATCTTAGATACAAGAGAAAGCAAAAAGAAAGTGTGAAAGGACACTTAGGACAGGGGTTGGAATTTCCTCCCTATGGTTTCTCATATAATTTGTGAAGAAATAAGCACAGAGGTAACTGTTGGATTTGTTGTAATTATATTTAGGACAGCCAAGTTCTGACACGGAGCTACACTAAATTCAAAGTTAATGTCATAAAAAGCAATGCTTCTCAAACTTTAACGTACATATCAATCACCTAGGGGTCCTTTAAAAAAGTACAGACTCTGATTATGTAAGTCTGGGGTGGGACCTAAGAGTTTGCATTTCCAGCATGCTCTCATGTGATGGCCATGGTGCAACGGAATAGAGCAATGCTGTGATGAGTCTTTTGAGTATCATGCCCTCAATAAATGGGGAACTTGAATGTTAGATGTTATCTCATCCTTAAAAACATTATCATATGCATAATATAAGATTTAGATCCGAGACTAACTGAAAAATTTCTCTTCAGCCATACATTTACTTCGGTGTCCCTTTAAGCTGTGCACAAATCTGAAGGAGCTGGGCACTGCTACTCTTAGACCTGGGCACACAGACACCTTGCCTCAGCCCTGCGCCTCAGAGAGTCTTCCTCTTTGAAGTGACTTCTTTGAAATGTTCTAAGTCCTCTTTTGGTGCTGGCCCTGTTTCTCCCCTTGGAGAGCTGTCTGTCTCTCTGTGCACATGGAATTGACCAGATGTCCTGGAGCTCTTGTATGTATGGTGTCATCCTGGGGCTGTTTTCAGACCCCAGTTCTAGGAGAGGTGCCTGGTGAGCAGATTGCTGCTGCTGCTGTTTGGCAAGGTATTTCCTTTGCAGGATCATGTGAAATTGGGCTGTTGAAGTGATGCTGACATGCTGATTTGGGGTGATTTGCACTTATTTTGGATATAGGTCTAATTTAGGGCTCTAGGCTATCTAAGGTCCACTGCTCAGGCCATGTGGGCCCAGGCATCCACTTTCACTGTCTATGTGCTAACCATGCTGCCACTTCTGCTGTATAACACCCAAGGGCTCCAGGGGTGGCATCAGGTGTCCTTACACTCCTTGCCACTGGCATTTAGGGCAGTTGCCCCATCCCCTTTGTAGGTTCTACACCATGGTCAAGGAGTCCTTTGGGAGTGGCTGCATCTATCACTTCTGAGGGCTTTCTAGATGTTCTTCACCACAACAATGGACCCTTCTGATGGATGTGGTGATGCTCTCTTCTCCCTGGTTAGTGTGTTAAGCTCTCCCAGATGAGAAACAGACATTCCTTGCATGAATTTGACTATTTATTTTGTTATGCCTAAAATCCCCTTCCTGCTGGTGGTGATGTATGAGAGACAAGGTGCAGTCAGTGTTGAAAAAGTTCACATTCTAGGAATGCAATAATTATGGCCTAAAGAGTTCAAGGCAAGACATAGAATATGTGTTGTTCCATGTTACGCTATAACATTCTAAATGATAAATTTAACATGACCAGAAAACAAATTATTCACGTTTCCTGCACACTCTGGGTCAGGCTTGAATTTGTGGTTATTATCAAAGAAGTGCCATAACAGTCTTCGAGTGACTGGAAGCTAGTATTTACAAGTAGCACAATGGATGGCGCAAAATCAAGAGTAATGATGTGACTAACATGATACAGATGGTAGTAGAGTGTTGTAGAGGCTAGAAGATTCATATTATTTTAATACAAACATTTTAGAAGCACCATGGTGTTATGAGAAATAATAGCATTACTATCGTTTCTTGTGCTGAAAGATATGAAATTGGCAAGAAATGGCTCATTTGATAATAAGGAAAAAAAAGAAATGACTCTTGAACCAAACAAGAAGAAATAGCACCTGGATACCAAGAAGAATCTTTACTTGCATCGAGTGGACAATAAATAGTTTTGTTATTATTCTAAATCTTCATCAATATATCCCTGTACCTCAATGGACCTATGAATTATATAATACTTTTTCTTTTTTTTTGGCCACACCATGCGGCTTGCAGGATCTTAGTTCCCCATCCGGGGATTGAACCTGTGCTGCCTGCAGTGGAAGTGTGGAGTCTTAACCACTGGACTGGCAGGGAAGTCCCTGTAATACATTTTTAATTGACTTATTTATATAGACAGGAACCCACAGGAAACATTTGCCCAGGGCCCTGCACACCCTAGAGTTAGCCCTGGAACTGGGATTTTGGTGTTAGTGAGTACCCTTGAGGAGATTTCTGAGATGGAGATTGTCATAGTAAAACATTTAGAAACATACCTGGAACTAACAAGGAAGAAGTCAATAGTCAAAGTATACAGGAAAAAGAGAGCTCGATACTTGTGCTTCCAGGTATTTCTCTGAGTTTCACTCACAAAGGCTTAAAGCCAAAAATTGGATTAAAAAGGGAAAGTTTTTCTTTGCATCTAACGTTGGGATTTCATTTATATGGGTCAGTTCCTAACTCAAATCCTCAGATCTTTTCTCTCACACTCAGAAAAATCAAAACTTCTTACTGTGGCCTGTGTGGTCTCCAACAGTCTGGTATCTCTTTTGGCACGTCACCTACAACACTGCCCACTTGCTCGTCCATTCTGGCCTCAGTGGCCCTCATACAGTTCTTCAGAGAAGTTTGTTCCTTCGTCAGAATTTGCACTTTCCTTTCCCTAGATATTTGCACAGGCCATGCTTTCACTTCACACATATTTCTACCCAAAAATGTTAGTTCTCAGAGAGATCTTCCTTGACTCTACTATTTTATTATTTATTTATTTATTTGTCTGGGCTGGGTCTTAGTTGAGGCACGCGAGATCTTTAGCTGCGGCATGTGGGATCTAATTCCCTGACCCAGGATTGAACCCAGGTCCCCTGCATTGGGTGCTTGGAGTCTTAACCACTCTACCACCAGGAAGTCCCAACTCTTATTATTTTAGAAACTCTCTCTCATGATATCTGCAGTCTGTTGTTTGTCCTACTAGAATGTGAGCTCCATTAAGGCAAGAAGTTTGCTTTATTCACTCATGTTTCCCGGGGTCTAGAACTGTGGCTGACACTCAATAAGTATTTGTTAAGTAAATAAAGAGTAAATAAATTGAGAAAAATTGGAAACATCCTAAATGTTATATTACAAAGGGATGATCAAATATAGTACCATTTAGTACTGTGTGCCCATGAAAAAGGATGAGGTTAAACTCTATATACTGAAAGAAAAGGCTTTGGGCATGTGTTGGTCAGTTAGAAAAGCAAGTTACAGAATATAATGTGTGTCTTGAAACAATTTGTGTAACACATGCAGTAAAAGAATGTAATGTATTTCTCATATATGTGCTTGTGCATGCATTAGAAAAAGATAGGAAGACTGTACATTAATAGTACATTTAGGGACTGGGATTGTGCGGGGTGGGTTTATATTTTTTACTATACATATTCATCTTTTGAAGTTTTGTAATCATACTTTTAAAATAATACATTTTAAGGTTTCTCTCATAAATTCTTAGTTTTAAGGCAAACAATTAAAAGAATATCATGAACAAAAATTATTGCCAAAGTAACAAGGAAAAAAATCGTAAAACAATAGTACTCTGCTCAGTGCCTCACATACAAAGGACTCAGTAAGTTTCAGCACATACACCAACACTCCTAACTGTCAAAGAAGCTGGAGTTCGGAGAACCCCTTGTTCCCCTCAACATCTGCAAGATCTCTCTGCTACCACCCAGATCCTTGCTTCCTGAAGGAGGCTCACAGAGATTCAGAGATTAGAAATCAAAACTCTTAATTTTATAACTACAAGAGGTCATTTTTTAAAAGCACAACAACACATTTATCATTTGTTTTTAAGAAATTGTTTTTATTAATGATTTGTTTTTAATGAGGATAAAATAGGATAGTCGATGTAAAAGCAGCCTATAACATGTGTGAAAAACACAGAAAACAAGATTATTCTTGATGTAGTTGGAATCAGATTTTTCTTTCTATTAAGAAAAAAAAAAGACCACTCTCTTTTCCCCTCCATCTCTCAGATCTGTGGTGCACTATTAGGTAGCCAGCCTAGTTCCTTTCCCTGTGTTAGCTTTCATTTTTGAAGCTCAAAACTGTCTAAACATCTCTGGTACCAATGATATGTGAAAGCATAAACTACAAAGAAGAGGTTACCGTGGGGTTAAAATTTTAGATACTCTGAGATTCAAGAGAGAGTCACCTTTTATAATGTCATAGTATTTTAAGAGATTATAAAAAGGGCAGAAAGTGTGGAGGGTCCACTCTTGGTGGATATAAGAGCTATATAAGGGACAGAATCAGGTGAGAAAGCTCTGTTTGGGGCTGATGAAAAATGGAGAAGCTAGAGAAAGCTCCCAAACATTGAGTTTCATAGGAGTAATCTTTCTGCCTTTTGGAGCACAGCTGCCTGCTTAACTTGATCTCTAACTGCTCACTCACACTGTGTACTTGCTGACATTCTGTGGCCTGGCTACAGTTTGGAAGACTACTTTAAGAACAGTCTTAAAACTTCCCTCTGTAAATAAGTTCTTTTTGTATTTACGGTCAGGGAGGTAGCTTTGTCCACCTTTAAACGGAAAGAAAAGAAATGAAATCTCTTAAAGAAAAATGACCCTTTTAAGTATGTTTATGTAAGCATAGAAGTTTTTAAGAGGCATGGAATAAAAAATGGATCTGACTATTAAAACTACAGAAATAATCTCGAGAAATAGAAAGACAGGTGATTAGTCTTGTTCATTTGACCACTGCTAGTGTCAAACCAATGTTTTTAATATTAATGGCATTGAAAAATGTGAAATAGAGCTTTGAAGCATTGACTCTAAACTTAGTTCCACATCATTAAGGTGCATACGTCTCAGCCTGGAGCACATTTATTCATTTCATTTTGGTTTTGTGGCCAACCACTGCTTCAAATTGAATATCCAGTACATGATTTATGGCTGCCAAGGCACGTTCAGGAAGAAATCTGTATGAAAAAAAGATGAAAAAATTTCAATTTAAAATCTTTGACACCAGAGTTCTTTTTTGTTGTCAGTTAAAAATACCCTGAGAGTTATCTGGTTTGCATTTAGTTTTCTTCTGTTCTTTCTTCACATCTACCTCTCTCTTTTTTTGTGTGTATCTTTTAATACTCACAGTTCAAATATTATGCAAATATAAAGAAAGCACTGATATATACCACTCTTCTCACCTTCTCATATTAGTAAACTATTATATGAAATCTTATGTGAGTAAAGACCTAAAACTGAAGATCTAGGCTTATTGCTGTAACTGTCAATGAATCCTGATGCTAAGAGTTCACAGAGCAACACCACCAGAATCCATTCCATCTGCCTCTCCACCTCTCCTTGAGTTTTTACTGAATATCTATTGATATTATGCCCTCTATAATAAGGTAGACTAAAGTACTTTAAAAACAGCTACTCCTGGGCTTCCCTGGTGGCGCAGTGGTTGAGAGTCCGCCTGCCGATGCAGGGGACACGGATTAGTGCCCCAGTCCGCGAAGATCCCACATGCCGCGGAGCGGCTGGGCCCGTGAGCCATGGCCACTGAGCCTGCGCGTCCGGAGCCTGTGCTCCGCAACGGAAGATGCCACAACAGTGAGAGGCCCCCGCGTACCGCAAAAACAAACAAACAAAACAAACAAACAAACAAAAAAACCGGCTACTCCCTTTGAGGAGCTTATTGTTTAGCTAAGAGGCTAAACAACAGGCTCAGATGGTTTCACTGTTGAATTCTACAAAATGTTTAAGAAGGAAATAATACCCATTCAACACAAGTTATTCCAGAAAAGAGAAGAGGAGGGAATACTTTCCAACTCAGTTTATGAGGTAAGTGTTATCCTGACACAAAAATCAGACAATGACATTACAATGCAGGGTTGGTTTAATCTTTAAAACGAGTCAGTGTAATGCACCATATGAACAAACTAAAATAGAAAGACCATAATACCTTAACATATTCAGTAAAAGCATTTGACAAAATCTGTATCTACTCTTGATGAATATGCTCATCAAAGTAGTAATAGAAGGGAACTTCTTCAACCTGATAAAGAGAAAATGAAAAAAATCTACAGCTGATATCATTCTTAATTGTGAAAGACTGACTACTTTCCTCTGAGGATCAGAAACAACACTTGGATGTGTGTTTTCACCAATCCTCTCTGACATTGCATAGGAGGTTCTAGCCAGTGTGATAAGGCAAGAAATAAAAAACATATAGACTGGAAAAAAAGAAATAAAAGTATCTTTATTTGCAGGAAATATGATCATTTGTGTAAAAATGTCTGTTAGAATCTACAAAAAAGCTACTAGAAGTGAGTTTAGCAAGGTTGCTAAATACAGATCAAAGTGCAAAAATCAAATATATGCTAGCAACAAACAATGGGAAATAGAAAATTTAAAAAAATGCCATTTGCAATAGCATAAAAACCATGAAATACTTTGGGATAAACCTGACAAAAGGTGTGTAAGATTTGTACACTGAAAACTACAAAATACTGTGTAGACATATTGAGAAAGATGAAAAAATAAAAAGATACCTTGTGTTCTTTGTGCTCTTGGATTTGAAGGCTCAATATTGTTAATATGTCTGCTCTCCCCCAATTGATCTATAGATACAATGCAGTCTTAATCAAACCCCCAGCAGGCTTCTTTATAGACCCTTTATTTTTAGCTAGTTCACCATATTGCTTTCTCTCTTTAAACTGTCTTTCCTTCAGTTAGAATAGTCTCTGGCAAAGACTGGCCAGAGGTAATAGATGGAGTAGAGAAAATGAATCATTCTCTTTTTATAGATTGAGTAAGGTAATAGTAGAGGAAACTTAACTCTTCTCCCCAGGCATGGAGAATTTCCATGGCAAATTTCACAACTGAAAAACTCTCCATAATGATAGCTCTATCAGTGTTGCAGTATTTTAGGTGTTTTGCTGTACTTACCTCTCTAGTGTTAGGAAGATATTGAGATATGATGGAACAAAAATCATTTTCTTATTGGTAAGTATTCCATCTATCAAGCTTCTTGCAACTTCATTTGTCTCCAATACAGGGAATAGTCTGTGATTAAAAAGAAAAGTTTGGTCCTTTTTGTTGTTTTTTATAATTAGCAAAAGCAGGAAAATTATCTTTTCACTAATTAGGATTTAAAAACTTCCAGGGGCTTCCCTGGTGGCGCAGTGGTTAAGAATCCGCCTGCCAATGCAGGGGACACGGGTTCGAGCTCTGGTCCAGGAAGATCTCACATGCCATGGGGCAACTAAGCCCGTGCACCACAACTACTGAGTCTGCACTCTAGAGCCCACGAGCCACAGCTACTGAGCCCGTGCACCACAACTATTGAGGCCCACAAGCCTAGAGCCTGTACTCTGCCACAAGAGAAACCACCACAATGAGAAGGCCGTGCACCACAATGAAGAGTAGCCCCCACTCGTCGCAACTAGAGAAAGCCCCCACGCAGCAACGAAGACCCAACGGAGCCAAAAATAAAGAATAAATTAAATAAATAAATTTATTTAAAAAATAATAATAATAAAATAAAAGCTTCCAGGATTCACTGCACAAATGCCACCTGCCTTCCCTCCCCCATGCCACATTGATGTTTTGTTATCACAATCTACTACTTTCACATCCAGTAGGTGTGTTTCATGGCTCACTCAGTCAAAACATCAAAATGGTGATGAGGAATTAGATAATAGAAGAGAAGAGGAGCCAGGCAAGGAAGAGTAGTGGGTAGGACTGATCAAAGGACAGAAAGGAAACATGTGGCATCTTTCTTCAGGGCTTGTTAGATATGAGAAGAGAAATCTATAGCTAAGTACACTTGCTTTCTTGTGGAGGTATCCCACAAAGCTGGATTGTTTTGAGGGCATTTAGTACTTGAGATTCACTGCTGACTTGCCTATGCTGAAGTTTAATGAGAGTTCAAGACATGCATAGGGAGTATTACATTACAACTAGAGGTGTGACCTTGATTATACTGAAGACTGTATACATGGGTTCTTGAGAAGTATTCATAACCACAGGCCAGTATAGAATGCCCATTAAGGCAAGATGATGACAGGAAATTAAAATGTAAATGGATTGAAAGTATTGCACCAAAGTTAAGTTGTCTAGGCATAGGCTGAATGGCTTAGAGAATACAAAGGTTGTGCGGAGGAGTTAAGTAAGTAGTGACTGTTATAACTTCCTTCCCTGAGATACATGTGATTTACTTCAGATTATTATGTGATTGAGGTTTCCATGACTTTGAGTGGCAAGCCAGCAGAGAGTAATACAAATCAATAGTTTTCTAAATTATTGGGTACTACCTCTTCCCTCCCTGATTTCCCCTACCTGGGTCTATCAACCCTGTCTCTAGCCAAGCCTCACATTAGTACATGGACATGTTAGCCTTTGTCAAGGAAGTTCAGAATCAGGTAGTCTGGGTGATACCAATTCCAAATTTTCAGCATTGCCTGGGTCAGTCCCCAGGGTCACCCCCAGGAACCCACATACCCGAGATCATATTAGCCTTACTCTTGTCATCTATTTTGCCTTCCCCTCTGGAAGAACTGGTACTCTGGGCTCACACTAAGCCTGAATGCTTACCAAGAGGATTTGTATTGGGCCCAGTTTCCTATTTCAGAAAACTGAGCCCAGAGTCCCAATTATATCACTGTATTTACTTACGTACAGTACCGTGTACTTGTTAAGTACTTGTGTTCTAACACAGTTAAGGACTCAACTGCCAGGGAGTGGCTACAGCTCTGGAGATGACGCAGCTAATGCAGAGTTTCAGAGTCAGTAGCTTCAAACGAGGCTGAGCTTAAAAGGGAATTTGTTAGCTCCTTTGAATGACTATATTTAGGACTAATTCCTTTCCAATAATAAATTGGCTTCAGATTAGCAAGCTCAGTATATTTTGTTAACCTGTAGCACAATGTTTATTAGAATCGAGGCAAATTGTGAAGCAGGTGTATTAATTTTAGGGTCCTTATCCTCACCTTTCCGCTTTATTCCTCTTTTCAGGGCCAATTTCTCCTCTCTTATCGTCTCAAATCCTCCTTTACCAGAAACAAAGTACTTGGTCAAGAAATTCACCTTGGACTTCCCTGGTGGTGCAGTGGTTAAGAATCTGCCTGCCAATGCAGGGGACACAGGTTCGAGCCCTGGTCCGCGAAGATCCCACATGCTGTGGAGCAGCTAAGCCCGTGTGCCACAACTACTGAGCCCTCGTGCCATAACTACTGAAGCCCGTGTGCCTAGAACCTGTGCTCCGCAACAAGAGAAGCCACTGCAATGAGAAGCCCGCGCACCACAAGCAAGAGTAGTCCCCGCTCGCCGCAACTAGAGAAAGCCCGCGCGCAGCAACGGAAGACCCAATGCAGCCAAAAATAAATAAATAAACTTAAAAAAAAAAAAAGTTCTCAGTTTAGGAAAAAGAAAAAAAGAAATTCACCTTGACTGAGGGGTTAAAGACTCAGCTTATTGCCGCTTCTAGGAACATTTGCTTTTTTTTTTTTTTTTTTTTGCTGTACACGGGCCTCTTTCTGTTTTGGCCTCTCCCGTTGCGGAGCACAGACTCCGGATGCGCAGGCTCAGCGGCCATGGCTCACGGGCCCAGCCGCTCCGCGGCATGTGGGATCTTCCCGGACCGGGGCACGAACCCGTGTGCCCTGCATCGGCAGGCGGACTCTCAACCGCTGCGCCACCAGGGAGTCTCGGAACATTTGTATTTTAAAGGAGGACAGGGTGGTAGCCATGATCAAATGCATGTGGTTATATTTACTATGTCAATGTTTTGCAAACCTGCCTCCAGAGTTACCTGGTTTCCTTGTAAACAAAGCAAAACATTCTTGGAGCTCGTTTCACTCTACTGAATCAGAATCTCTAAGGAAGAGCCTAAGAACATGTATTTTTTATATAAGCACAGTGATGACGCTTAGGATCAGGCAAGTTTGGAAGATGTTGGAGTACTTTGTGCTAGCTCTGTGGCCAGTGCTGTCGAATATGGAAACGGGGCATATACCTGTGCCTTTCCATACTCTATTGAGGAGGATGAACCGCGAGCGGGAGGGGGGAGGTGAGGTAACATTCGTTTTGGGGGTGTGGTTTCCAGGAGAGGACACTCTTGCCATCACCCCCGGGAAGACCTCTCCATCTGACCCACCCCCATTCTCACTCCCTCTTAACACCTGTGTGTGTGTTGAGTCTTTCACCTGGACACGAATAAATACCCAACGCCTGATTCATTGGCAGCTGATCACTTCTACTAGCCCCTAATGCATTTTTCCCCTTTGTTCATCTAATTTCAAAGCGAAAACATAAAGGCAATACAATAACATTAATAAGAAAAAATGTTTTTCCTTTTTCGTTTTTTTGTTTTCTATTTTCTCATTTGACCCACCTAAAAATTTCTCATGTAGGTTTCATACCAATTTCTCATGCCATATTTCCATCTTAACTTGATTTTGACCTTACCTTGTGCTTGGGTTTTTGGTGAACCCAGTATTCACAAAAACTGGGCAGAGACACGAGGTTTTGATACCAGTTTTTCCCAAGGCTTCAAATTCTGATGTCAGAGCTCGGTGGAAGCCAACAGCAGCAAATTTGCTGGAACTGTAAGAGAATTATCCACCCCTGTTAGCTAAGGGAAAGTGAAACATTCCTCAGCTTTCTGTGAGAGGAAAATGTTGATTTTGTTTGAGAACACATAAAAGCCAAACCCCCAAATCTTCCACTTGGTCATCTATTTTCATTTACATTTTCTTATCTGATTTCACTGAATTCTGAATTTACCGATTTTTTTAATTAGCGGTGATAAACAATAGAACAAATTTTAATAACTTTGATTGACTTGCTTACTGCTCATTCTACCTATAAGGTTTTTCCATTCAATCTTTAAACTGTTTTCTAATCAGTTTTTACTGCTGTTTTTATTTTGAAAAATATGAATCAGGAAAATCATGTTTAGAAAAACTATGTAACTAATATCTGTATTAACAAACTTCTGTGGGACTCTACACATTTCTCTCTCTCTTGATAGTTTCTCTTTTGAAATGCGGAGTTCACTTTGGCTTCTTAATTTCATTGTGAAGATCTGGAGTAAAAAGACTTCAGGTGATGTGGGTGTGTTAGTGTGTGCAACCTTCAACATATTACTTTGTCTTCTTCCTTTGATTTTCTGATCTTTAAAATGCTGGTGATAGGGACTTCCCTGGTGGTCCAGTGGTTAAGACTCTGCGCTTCCAATGCAGGGGGTGCAGGTTTGATCCTGAGTTGGGGAACTAAGATCCCACACGCCGCACAGTGCAGCCAAAAAACAAAATAAAATTCATTTATAAAAAGATGCTGGTAATAAAATATAGAGCCATCTTGAGGATTAAATCAAATAGCATATGCATAATAACTTTATTACCTATAAGAAGCTATGTAATGTTAATTGTATTTTTGACTCAGATGACAAGAACCATAAAGTTAAAGGCTGGCTGCTCTCTTAAAGGAAAAGAGAAAAGGAAAACAATTGTTACATTGGGTTTCCCCATTTCTAAACATTAAAACAATATTAAATGTTTAATCTGTGAAATTCTGATTTGTGTTTTAAGATGCTAGAGGCAGCTTGAAACAACCATATGTATGTGCAAGGACACCTTAACCTACAGCGAAAATTAACTACATCTGTGACTACATTTGGTGTCAGAAATAATTTGGTCCGTGACCAAATTCAACTTTGAACATGGATGTGTAGGTAAGTAATAAACCAACTAACTATCCACCCCCATCCCCACCCACTGATACACATGTATTGGCTGTTACAAAAAGAATTGGCCAAAATGTTAACAAATTAAATTTTTCTATGAGGTTGATATAAGACCAGAATAAGGAAATGAGATGCCATTGAAGGAGTGTATGAAGAAAAGATATTTTGCAAATAGTGTGTCTTTAGGGAGTTCCCACTTTCGTTTCTTTATGTCCTTGGTAGAGCATGGAATATGCTATCTGCATCTTTTAATACGGTAAAGGCTTTCTCTCAATCCCTCTCTCTCTCTCTCTCTCTCTCTGTCATACACACACACACAATCTTTCATGGCACAAGCACACTGAAAAATGTTTTGATCCAGGAGCCACTCTGTTTAGCTTATCTTGGGCATGCAGGCCATGGCATAGATTTGTGTTCATTTGGACTTCCTTATATTTTGCTTCTTAGTCTGTGAGTTCCTTCTTTTTTTGTTGTTTTTATTTTTGTTTTTTAGTTCCTTATTTCCTTTATGAGCATCTACTCATTCCAGGATACAATGGAAACATGCTTGGCATTACTGTTTTCTTTCATTGCTCTGTGGAGGAGTTTTCAGAAATCTAAAAATATTTTAAATGATTTTTCATTTAAAACCAGTTTCCTTGTTTTAGGAGAAGTCATTTTTAAGAGTTTATTCTAAACTACTGTATACATTCTGTAAATCCAAATTATCTGCTATGAGACTTTTTATAGCTTTTATTTTTTGCAAGGCATTTGACTTTTTGTTCTAAGAAGATTCAAAAATGAAGAAAACACAATTCTAGCTCTCCAGAAATAAATAAATAAAATAAAGAAAAATAAAACAAATTACCTGTTATGAGGACTGGAATCTGAGGTCTAATAAAACCTCAAAAGTGTAAAAATATATAGCACTACTAGAAAGTAATACTTACCAATATGGAATAATATAAGGAATCACTCCGTGGCCGCATAGTGAAGCCACTGTGACAATGTGGCCATGGTTTCTCTGCATCATCGCTGGAAGAAGTGCCTTTGTGATCTTCAGGATCATTGCGGAACCAAAAGAAACAATGACACAGGTGTTAAGTTTCCAAATTAGGTAGTTTTATTCTACTTATTTTATTTTATTTTTGCGGTACGCGGGCCTCTCACTGTTGTGGCCTCTCCCGTTGCGGAGGACAGGCTCCGGATGCGCAGGCTCAGCAGCCATGGCTCACGAGCCCAGCCGCTCCGCGGAATGTGGGATCTTCCCGGACCAGGGCACGAACCCGTGTCCCCTGCATCGGCAGGCGGACTCTCAACCACTGCGCCACCAGGGAAGTCCGGTAGTTTTACTTTTAAGACAAAATGTCATTTAAGACAACTTTTTCAATGAAATGAAATACGTGCCAAGATTCCATGATTACTTCTCCACCGATGACAGAAATGAAAAAAAGATTAAAACAATTGGTTTGAGCTGGCATCGAGTGCTGTGCACTGCATACCACATGCCAAGAACTCATCTTAAAATCCCTCTTCTTCCCTTCAGAGGGAATCAAAATTCTTTTATGGATCCATCATCTAAACAATATTATTAAGGGAAAAATTCAGAGTTTTCAGAGCTGAGAAAATTCCGTATGGTAATCTGGTATCATGTAATTTTTTGTTTGTTTGTTTGGGGCTTTATCTTGCTAATGAGAAGAGTTAAAATCTTGTGTACCTATATCAAGTTGAGCAGAAAAAGCTGAGTCCTGTACTGACCCATGGTCATTATGTACCATGATTAGGGAGATTAGTATCTCCCTATTTGTAATACTGTGCATTATATGTTGATGTTACAGGAAACAAAAAGTCTTTCTTTACCTCCAAAAAGCTTTACTGTTTGGTGAGAAATATCAATACTATTTTATAAATGCACCCTATGGACCCTGTGCAAATTCATAGAGCCAGAATTGCCAAACCAAGCCACCCCCAAATTCCTGACCCACAGAAACTGTGAGAGGAATATGAACATTTATTCTGGCTTTAATCCACTAAGTTTTGATATAATTGTTATGCAGCTGTAGACAACGAATACATGGGGTCTCTAAGTAGTTTGGTGGGCATAATAATTAATTCTCATTAGCATGTGTGAGGGGCTTGGGAAAATGGGGGAATACATCTCTTTTTTTCTTCTCTCTTCCAGAATCCAGATCTGTCCTATGTTCTACACTAATATTGAGGCACTGGAAGATTAATTCATATAAATGCTCTCTACAAAGACATATTTCAGTCTCTCACAAAACCAAACAATTATAAGAGGTCTGTAGAGCCTTAACTCTAAGCTCCAGCCTGACCTAGAGCTTTGCTCAGAGTTCCAGCCAGAAGAACCCCCAACCCCTATATAACCGAAGTAGTGAGTTCTTTGTCCTTTCTGTTCTAAAATTCCATGACATGAGGTCACAAGTGAATGTACACTGTATGTATTTTCTCTAAAGCACTGAAAAGGTGTACACTGACAATCCTTAGGAAAGCTCCATGAATATTTTTTGAGTGCCCAGTACATGCCAGGATTTGTGTTAGGTACTGGTGGATAAGGCAGACTAACTAGCCTACATTCTGGTGAGTCACGTCCCCTTGAAATCTGTGCCCTTCTGTCAGAGACACGAATATTGGATGATTGTTGTTTTAAGGCAAAGATATGGAGTTTCCCATCCAGAAGGATGTGAACTCAATTATGAACTTCATGTACCTTAAGAGGAATTGTCAGACATACACAAACTAGGAATATTTCTGATTCACGCTCACCCAAAAATGTCCTAGGATGTTGACCTCAAAAGTTTTGGTAATCTCTTCATCCTTTGTACTAAGAAGGTCAGCTGGATATATTGCCCCAGCATTATTCACCACGATAGTTACATCACCCACCTCTTTCTTTACCTGTTGAAATAGAAAGAACACGTTCATTGGGTGTAGTATCGAAACTTAAAAGTTTTGGGGCTGATATCATCCAGGGATTAAATTCTTCATTCTGTTTGATGAGATCTCTCAGAGTTCAGGCAGGAAAGAGCTTTAGTCCAAAGAGTGTTTGCCAAGAAGACACTGTCATAAAGCTGGGGTAAACTGTTTTTTTTAACAGCTAAATTTCAGTACCCAGTACATCATAGATATTTTTTGAAACTTACCAATAAAATGAAATTAATATTTGTGTTGATTGATATATCTGTTCTAACCAAATATTTTAAAAGTGCTAATTGAGTAATCCTATTTTCACTACCTACTAGCTACATGACCTTAGTCTGACATATCAGTTCTTACCAAATATTTTTAAAGTACTAATTGAGTAATCCTGGCTCTGCCACCTACTAGCTACATGACCTGGTCTGGCTTATACCCTCTGAATCTGTTTGCTCACCTGTCAAGTGAGGTTAAGAGGGTTATTGTAGGGATTAAATCAAAGGGTACAACCATTTTCAGAGTGCTTTGTCCATTGTATTTGATATTTACCCTTAAAAATTGTTATAATAATTATTAATATTATATTTTCTATAGAAGATTAGATTGGCACCAACATAAATAAAATCTCAAAGAGGAAATATTTAAAGGAAAAAATAAAGGAATTACTGCAAAAGTAATAGGACTAAAATGAAAGTAGAAAGTTATCCTTTTCCCTGATGATAAATCTTTTCTCTGTCACTCTGTGCAGCTGCTCAAACTTCTAACCAGAATGAAATCGATTAATTAATCGATTAATTAATTAATTAATAGGCAGAGTTGAGTGCATTATATGGAAGGAAAAGGTTTATGTCCTTCCTTGTTCACACAACTACCTCAGTTAGCAGAGGCTAAAAAAAAAAACAAATCTAATTTAAATTAGGCAGTCACAAAGAACCTTTTCATATTCCATGTAAGGGGACACAAAATTATGGGAAGAAATTTGTATTCTGAAGTCTCACCTGGTTTACAGAGTCATAAATCTCTTCTCTGTTACTGCAGTCTACCACAAACACATGTGTAATGGCCCCTAGTTTTCTGCATTCAGCTGCAGTTTCCTCAACGCCATGCTGTAATTGGAAAAAAGCAAATTCCAAAAGATGTAGGTCAGTGAGGGGACAAGAGTGAGGGAGAAAGCATTGGAGAAGAAATTTTTTTTAAGATTAAAATTCACGTCCAAAATGTCCCACTTGTTTGTAAGCAAATTTCCTGAGAGGCACCGCTTGCCTAACTCGCAGAGATTATACCTGGCTTTTCTGCCAGGGAAGGCTCATGTAAGTCTCACGAGTTTTCACTTGTTTTGCTACATTCTCATAGCTTAAAGAACATGCTTGAAAGATGTTGCTCTTTGTGGTATCATGAAAGGAGATGTTTGAGTATGGAGAAGAATACTCAACAATATGCTTAACATATGTTTGTTGAGCACCAACTATGTAATAGGCAGTAAAGCACCTAGCAGATTGTAAAAATTTTAGGATTGCGTGCATGTGAGAGAAGGCATGAAGAAATTCTGTCACATATTCTTCTTTGTTTTTTATTTGGTTTTTGTCTTGCCAGACCTTTAAAAAATACATTCTGAGCTCAACAGTCTGCTCTGGGGCCAGGTTTGGTTCATTGGCTGTAGTTTGCTAACTCCTGTTCTTGCCTATCCTGTGAGGTATTGGGTTGGCCAAAAAGTTCATTCGGGTTTTTCTGTAAGATGTTCTTTCTGTTACAGAACATCGCACAGAAAAACCCGAACGAACTTTTTGGCCAACCCAATATTATCCCCATTTTAGATAAGGAAACTGAGGCTGAGAGAAATTGTCTGCTCAATTTAAACAGTTTGGAAGTACCCTGGCTCCTGAGTCTATGTTTTCAAACTTGCATATCATGGCATAAAAATCACTGCTAAGGTCTCAGTTATGTTCCCTTCATCAAACCATCCTGTGGGGACTTCCCTGGTGGTCCAGTGGTAAAGAATCTGCCTTCCAATGCAGGGGACGCGGGTTCAATTCCTGGTCAGGGAACTAGGATCCCACATGCCGAGGGGCAACTGAGCTCTTGCGCTACAACTAATGAGCTCGTGCTCCTTTACTAGAGAACCTGCGTGCAAACTACAGAGTCCACGTGCCCTGGAACCCATGCGCCACAACTATAGAGCCCATGAGCGCTGGAGCCTGCGCACCACAACTAGAGAGAGAAAACCTGCATGCCACAACTAGAGAGAAGCCCTCACGCAGGAATGAAACGTCCCACATGCTTCAATGAAGATCCCATGCCACAACTAAGACCCTGGACAGCCAAAAATAAATAAATAAATAAAAAATAAATCTTAAAAAATAAAGCTATTGGGTGCCATGACCATAGTCCTCTTCCAACTCGCTCTCCGCAACTAGATGTGATGGGTAATATGGCACTTGTACTTTAAACAACAACAACTACTACAAAAAACCCGTCCTGATGCATATGTAGAGTAAGGCTCCAGGGAATTTAGTTACCAAACTTCGAGAAAGACAAATACAAATATAAGCAAATGTTAAGTCAAATAAGTTCGGGCCTCTCACTGTTGTGGCTTCTCCCGTTGCCGAGCACAGGCTCTGGACGCGCAGGCTCAGCGGCCATGGCTCACGGGCCCAGCCGCTCTGCGGCATGTGGGATCTTCCCGGACCGGGGCACGAACCCGTGTCCCCTGCATCGGCAGGCGGACTCTCAACCACTGCGCCACCAGGGGAGCCCCAAGTCAAATAAGTTTTTAAACACCTGTCTCACTTGTAACTTTAAAAGGTGGGTAAATGAATCCAGTACCTTATTAATATCCCACAGAACCAGTCTGCTCTTCCGTTTTGCAAATTCATAGGCAGTATGCCTTCCTATTCCATGCCCAGCTCCTGTAATGAGAACAATCTCTCCAGCCACAGATTTTCTCCTCTGGGGAATGAAAACCTTCACCAAGGATTCTAAGTAGGAGTAGATGATGATGATCAGAAGCAGGAGGAGATCCAAGATAATATTCATGGCTCTGCTCTGTACTCTTCTCCTCTGGTTCAGTCCCTGTCTAGTCCCAGCAAAGAGCCACCCTCTTCAGAGAGCTCCAGGGAAGAGCTGTGTTCCAGGTGTTGATGGGACTGGCAGAGGTAAGCTAGATTTGCAGGCAGGCTTTGTCCATGTGTTCTAATGCGTTAGATGCACTTTGAGCTTTTGAAGTGGTATCAATTGCTAGTAAAAACTTGGCATGGGGACAAGGGAACTCAAGAGAAAGTCCTCTCTGGATTTTCTTTTTGGTTGTTGTTGTTTAATACTATATTTTACTAGTTTTCAAGCACTGATTTGACATCTATATACCTTGATTTAAAAGTTGATATTTTATTTTGTATTCAGCTCATACTCAGTTAAGTTTAAAATGAATGCAAGCATAGTATAGGGCATAAGTTATTTAAAAGTAAACCATTTATCATTGGAGTGAAATCAGGTCATGGGATTTATGGTAGCTAACAGTTCAATGAAATGGTGCCCTCTTATTGTATCTATCATTCCATTTCTCTACATTTGTACCTCCATCGTCCATGCCTATTCCCATGTGCTAATTGCTATTACATTCCACAGTAAAGGCATAGTTTTAAACTTCCTCTACTTTCAGGAGGCACACTTTTCTTGCAGTTCAGTTTCTGAAGAAAAATGATCAATATTGGGGCTTCCCTGGTGGCACAGTGGTTAAGAATCCGCCTGCCAATGCAGGGGACAGGGGTTCAAGCCCTGGTTTGGGAAGATCCCACATGCTGCGGAGCAACGAAGCCCATGCGCCACAACTACTGAAGCCCGCGCACCTAGAGCCAGTGCTCCGCGACAATAGAAACCACCGCAATGAGAGGCCTGCACACCGCAACGAAGAGTAGCCCCTGCTCTCCGCAACAAGAGAAAAACCCACACGCAGCAACAAAGACCCAACACAGCCAAAAATAAAGTAAAATAAATTTATTTAAAAAAATCAATATTTATTACTGTAGTGAAATCAATACTCTGATTTATTTGCCCAAAGTTAATTAGGACCAATTCTTTTTATTCTGCTAATAAAAAAACTCACTTTTTTAAATTCAGGAGAAACATTAGCACCTTTCTTTTATCATTCTTAAGCAGCTCTCTGGCATAATATGGACTTACTTTCTGAGAAGCAGTTCTGTTCTCTGTTTCACCATGGCAACTGAAAAAAAGATGCACAACCTAAAAAATGAGAATTATGTTTTATTTGGTGGCCTGAGGACTATAGCCTGATGTTATACCCTCTCAGACAGTGTACTGCTCCAAAGAGGTAAAGGAGGAGCTGATAGGGATAGAGTAGGGTAATCAAATAGTTAGTTTAGGGAATTCCCTGGCAGTCCAGTGGTTAGGACTCTGTGCTTTCACTGCCGAGGGTGCAGGTTCAATCCCTGGTCGGGGAACTAAGATCCTGCATGCTGCATGGTGCAGCCAAAAAAAAAATTAGAAGTCCCACTAGGGGACTGTAGATAGAGAGGGAACTTTAGGGGGCTTTGGGAAACCACAGTAAGTCAACGATCACTCAAGAAAGCAATGGGAAAATCTTGAAACTTTGTGGGCTTGCTTGTTTGTGAAACAGAGCAAATCGCTTAGCAGCAAAGCCAGGCAGGCTTGCTTAGCAACAAAACCATGCAATGGAGGCATGAGTCATGCCTGAAGACAATAAAACAATAGTGGAAAAATAAGGCCTACATCCCGCCCAGTGAATGTCAACAAGTTAATGACCCCCTAGGACATGCTCTCTTCACACATAACAAGCAGTAATTTGGGAAAGGTGACACTTCAAAGTGAAAGACCGTCATTATACTGAGACCTGAAATAATTTTTCCATAGCACCATGACAGTCCCAGATGGGCCACATAGTGCCAAAAACTCCCCCACCCAACAGTTAGGAGGAGTTGATGGAAGACTCGAAGAAGGAGGAAGAAGATGGTCTCCCCCCCCAATCCCGCTCTTCCTTTGATTATAAAAATGTAACCCACTAACGCTTGCTTGCCTGCCTGCTTGTTTGTAAGCTCACAAGTGTCCTATTCTAATAAATCACTTCTTAACTATCACTTTGCCTTTTACTGAATTCTTTTTATGCTGAGACAAAAAGAGCCAGAGCTCCTCCGAGCCCCCTGCCGCAGAGATGCATTTCTGTGGTTTCAGAGCCAGGATATATAGTAGTTTTTGCTGGGAAAAAAAATGTAGTCAAACATCAAAGTTTATTGCTAATCACACAAAACAGACATCTCAAGTTAATAATTTTAGTGCTTTTCTATGTATGGGAAGATGCAAGAACCTGGGCTCCTTGACATTATTCCTTTGATATGCATCTTAACTATTTTGGGCCAGTATCCTGTTTTTCTCTATCTTGAATTCCCCTCAAGGTGCATGGTTGGGCAGCTGCAGTGGCTGATGGCTTGATGGAAAGCAACATTTATTGTTTACAAAATGGCAGGCAACAATTCTTTGTCCACAACCATGAAGTTTTACCTCTAGAAATAATCCTAGAGATACTGCATCAGCTAATGGTTGCTTGGTATCTCTCTGCGAAATGTTTTTGATTTTGTTTTGTTTTTTAATGAAGGAAAAGAAGGAAGTAGAGATATTATCTTAAGGAATCTTAAAGCATGGACTCACCAAGCTTAGTTTGATTGATTTATTCATAAAAGCTCAATATGTCTCAATTTGCTAATCATTTTACATGAGATGCCCATTTCCCTGAAAACCTCTTGTGTTTGGGGGAGATTATAGGTTATACGAGTTCCCTTTGTGATAATTTGGAAAAGAGCATTAGACCAAGAGCCAGAAGTATTCACTTACAAGGGGGTGTGACTTCCAATACCTCAAAAGTGGAAACAACTTAAGTGTTCATCAATGGATAAATGGATAAACAAAATGTGATATATGCATAATAAGGGAACAAAATTTTCCACCCCGTAATGTGTCTCCTTGGCATGAAGATTAATTTAGGCTGATTATTTTTAAGAAACAGAAGACTTGGGAAGTCTTTCTTTTTACTTCTCCATAAGCTGCTTAAAGAATTTAGATAAAGGGCCTATTCCCAGAAGACATGATAAATATATACAATGGAATATTACTCAGCCATAAAAACTAATGAAATGTTGCCATTTGCTGCAACATGGAGGACCTGGAGGATATCATACTAAGTGGATTAAGTCAAATATTATGTGATATCATGTATATATGGAATCTAAAAAAATAATACAAATGAATTTAGTTGCAAAACAGAAACAGACTCACAGATATAGAAAATAAACTTATGGTTACCAAAGGGGAAAGGACAGGGAAGGATAAATTAGGAGTATGAGTTTAATAGTACACACTACTATATATAAAATAGATAAACATAAGGATTTACTGTATAGCACAGGGAACTACATTCAATATCTTATAACAAGCTATAACAGAAAGTAATCTGAAAAAATATGTATAACTGGATCTCTTTGTTGTATACTTGAAACTAACACAATATCTTAAATCAACTATACTTTAGTTTAAAAACAGCTATGGAGATGAATGGTGGTGATGGTTCCACAACAACATGAATATACTTAATGCCATTAAACTCTACTTTTAAAAGTGGTTAAGGGACTTCCCTGGCGGTCCAATGGTTAAGACTCCATGCTTCCAATGCACGGGGCAGGTTGGATCCCTGGTCTGGGAACTAAGATCCGACACGCTGCATGGCCAAAAGATTTAAAAATAAAAAATAAAATAAAATAAAATACAAATAAAAATGGTTAAAGTAGTAAACATTATATTATGTATGTTTTACCACACACACACAAAAAGTGGCATGACTTCAAGCAATTCTTTTTATTTTTTCTATGTCTCACTTTTCTTATCTGGAAAATAATGATAAAAATAAATGCTTCTGGGTAAAATGCTTTTACCCAACACAGACCTTTACCAACACATCGTAAGTTCAAGCTTCCTCACATACCCACACACAAGGGGGATATGAGACTCAGATGAGAGAGCATGTATATGAAGTAGATTTTCAAGTAGTAAACGGTTATATAAACCAAATAATAATAATAATAGTAATAGCTTAAATTTATTAAGTGCTTACTATTTGCCATAGACTGATATAAGGGCTTTAGGTAACAACTTATTTAATCCTCACAGGAAATATTTGAGGTAGGTCCTATTAGAATGAGCATTGTACAGATGAAGAAACTGATGGAAAGAAAAGTGAAGTAACTTGCTAAAGTCCCATAGCCAGTAAGACATTGAGTTAGGATTCAGGAAGTCAGATTGCAGAGCCCCAACTTTTAACTTAGACCAACTAAGTTAAAACCAACCAGCCAAATAGTTCTCAACCAAGGATACTTTTGCCCCAAAGGAGACAGTTTGCCATGACTGGAGACATTGTTGGTTGTCACACCTCAGGCATGCTAGTGGCACCTAGTGGGTAAAGGCCAGGGATGCTGCTAAACATCTTACAATCCACAGACAGCCCTGTGCATTGAGGGAAAGAATTATCCAGCCCCAAGTGTCAGTTGTACCAAGGTTGAGGCATCCTGACCTAGGCTATACTATATCGCATTGCAGAGAGTATAATTGGCTCTTTAAGTTTTAACCCTGAGTGTATTTATAAAAAAAGAGTACTTGACTATATCATTCTGCATGCAGGTTTGCAGTGATGTTTATATGGATCCATTTAAATATTTAAATGTTAACATAGGTGATTTAGATCAGACTTCATGCTGGCTGCAACATCAGGAATCCGTTTTCAGGTTGAATGCCTCTAAGTTCAATATTTCACTTGCTCAGAGTGGGCCAGACCAGAGGACTCACACCATGCAAATTCATATACTACTGATATACTTCTAAAAGGCAATGAAAAATTTTATAGCAGGATCTAGATTCTTTTACCTTCTGGGATATCTGTATTATCCAAGAATTAAGAAACTTTGAGAAAGTGAAAATCACTTTGTTAATGTTACTTAGTTCACATTATGCTCAAATAGTTTGGATGCTGAGA